TGTTCCAATCATTGAAAATATCAGAAGCAGTGATAAATGTAATTTAAGATGTACGGCATTTGTTAGCAATATGCTGCAGATTAAGAATTATTTGTGAAATATATTGTGCACTTTTCCCCCCAACAATTTTTTGAGGTCTTTTATTCCCCCCTCCAAGCATTTCAGATTAATTAGGTGAAATTATGCCAATACACTTAAGAGATAAAGAAGCGTCCCAAAAGTTGTGAGAATTATTTTTATTTTTAGTTTTTTTTAGGACTTTTCTTATTGAGAGGAGCAATAGTATACTAAACTCACACACACTACATGAATGCTAGGACTCGAATCCATAACCCTGTCTGAGGGAGTAAATACTCCAAATCACTACAATGGTGGGTCCGTTGTCAAAAGTTGTGAGATTTAAATGTGTAATTTTGTAATTTTGATATGTGTTTCAGAAAGAGCTTAAGAGAAATAGAAAGACTGGAGATAAACTAACAGATTAGGATATGATCCAAATACAGATTGTGTATTTTCCAAAAAAAGGAATTTTCTTTTAGTCTTCTGAAAATTTATATAGGCTTTGACCTGTTCTATGCAAAGTTGCAAAGTTTTTCGAAAGAACAATTTTTCTAGATCAAAATACTAAGAAGAAATTCCTGATATAAAGGAAACAAAATTATGAAAAGAAATTAGGAATTGAAAGGTTTTAATTTTTATTTCTGGATGACAAAAAGAAAAGCGTCTAATAAAGATATATCATTTTCCCCTATCTCTTAGTCACAAATTAGAAAACCCCACAAATCAAAAACAAGAAAAGGAAAAAACAGAGGCCGCTCCAAAAGATACAAACCTCAGGTCCTAAGTGATTTATCCATCATTTTGTGGCTTCTTCAGCATCGATTCATCATCAACTCAAAACCAGACACGCAGACTCTCTCTCTCTCTCTCTCTCTCTCTCTCTCTCTCTCTCTATACGAAAGAAGGGCATGTCCCGTAAAGGAGGAGGAGGTGGTTCTTCACTGCCAAAGGACGTGCCTTGGAGGGCCTCAAACACCAAACCCATCCCCAAAATTCACCATTCCCCTGTTCTCCGAATAACCCAGAACCCTACTTCCAATTATGCCATCGCTGTCATGAAGGTTCCTTTTCTCTATCTCAAACACCTCACTCTCCTTCTACACTTGTAATTGCTTTGTTTTTTTGTTTTTTGTTTTTTTTCTCTTTCTCCTCTGGGTCATCGTAAAAAAGTTTAATTTTGCAGCACCCGAACCCGGTAGGAAGTGGGTTAGGAATGGAAGCCATAGTGGAAGCAGCAGGCCCTGAGTGCATTATCCCGGGACAAGTTACGCCTATCAAGTTACTTGGTGTCAAGGTTGCCTCCTACTCTTCCATTTTTTTTTCGTCACTAAAATTTATGCAACTTATTTGGTTCATTCTGCCTTCAATAAGTTTCTTAGTTCCCAAATTTTGACAAATAGTTTCATGGGTTAGTTCAATTTTCCTCATTTGTATGTAAGTGATGCGATTCTTCAATTATGTTCACAAATAACTTAAGCATTATGCGGGTTGTGTGTGCAACTATGGTGGCATATGCGAATAAGTAGTAAGTACACGCCAATAGTTGCTGGCTGTAAGTTCTAGGTAGAGTGCTATGGCTGTTATTTTATGTTTTCCTTATATATATTTTATGCTAACTGTGCACATTTAGAATAGAAACTTCTGCTTCTTCTTGGCGCCAATGTTGTTAGTTTGCCTATTGTTCTTTTTTAACCTTTAAACCAGGTGTTCATTGTAAAGTTCGAACTTTGTAGAATATGGCATTGCCTTTATGTTCTAACTAGGGTCTTATCTTTTTTCTCTATCTCATGTTACCCTTAAAATTTTATTACTTTATTAAAAGTCTGGAATTGTTTTCTATAATTATTTATTCTGCTTTTCCGGAGGTGTATTTAGTCATGTATTTCTACTTTTAGGAAGGCAGATCCTGTAGTATGTTTGATAGATGGTGTTTCAAAATGCAAAATATAGAGAAATCTTAATGCTTTGATTTGCATTTTGTGCCCGTGTCATAGATGTATCAAGTTTTTACATAGTCTATTAGATCTACCTTGCCTCTCGTGCTTCTTTGTTATTATTCTTTTAATTGATCCCTGATTTTCATGCAGGTATGGCCTATTGAAGTTAACTTGAAGTTTTTGGAACCAGTTGGACGAGAGCTCAAGCAGCTTGGAAAGGTAAATTTCCATGTTTCATATCTGTTTTCACCTTTTGGAGTTAACATTCTTGACTCGGTAATGAGAGCAGATAGCTTTAGACCAAAAAGAAAGAAAGAAAGAAAGAAAGAAATAAAGTGCAAATGCCCTTGAGAAATGGTGTTGTCCCCAACTTAAATTGCTGATGAATTGGTTCCCAATTTCATGGAATGGAAAAAGTACCAATGAAATGAAATTTGCCCAATAATAAAACCAGCTTGTGACAGAACATTCCTGGTTTGCCTGGTTAGATTTGCTGAAAATAATATTATGCCATTTTGTTCTCTTGTATCATTTGAAGAAAAAAAATTAATTCTTTTGTGTCAAATCGCCATGAAAATTCTGAAAATGATCTTCACACAGCACCATAATGAAATTCAAAACTGGATACATGCATATATTTCATTGCTGCCAAATGTTTTCTGTGGTTAAGCATTGTGTAAATTAATCAGCTTGTCTTTTCAGGCTGTGGCCTAGTGTATGCAGACTAGACCTGGTTTTCCCAAAATGTTAATGATTTTTGTTACAAAGTGGAAGGAGGTTGGGTTTTAGTTATAGCTGACTAGTGGAAGATTTATAGTGCTAAATTAAAAGTTCTCTGTAAATGTTATGCCTTCACTTGTTCTGAAGTGAATGAGCAAGAAAATACTTTATGCTCCGCCCTTTCTTTGAGTCCTCGGTCTTAAATTGTAGTTTCCACTGTTTGTTGTTGATAATTGGTGGTGTACTCTTGTTTGATTCTTGTCAAGTACTTAGTTTTGATGGGAAACAACAAACTATGCTTTCATACATAAAACATGAGAATCCATATTTGCAAAGGACTTTTAAATTAATACATTGGTCATGTCTATGATGCAGTTCATGGATGATGCTGTCAATCTCATGAATAAATCATTCATAGATCGCTAGTGCATGCATTCCTGTTATCAAGAGGACAAGTACTTGCAGTCAGCAGAAGCCGGTTCAGGAAGAATGACATACTAAGATCTCCTCTTGTGTTGTCTTCTTGCTTGTTCTGCAGTTAAGGTGTACGTAGTTCCTAGTATCCATAGATCAGATGCGGGAGGTTTCTTGTTTTGGATTGTGGCATGAGGAGTTCCCTTTTTTCAATGTTGTCTTGGCCCCTGAACTCTACTGCTTTTAGTTCAATATGTTACATTAATACTTTAAATTTAAATTATATGAGGTTTTGAGTAATGTGAAGTTTTGTTATTTTTGAACTCTTTCGCTTCACTGTACATGCACCACACCAATGTATGCATATATAGTTGGCATGCAGCTTATGCTCTTGACCCTTGAAGCTTGTAACATGGTTTTGAATTAAATGAAAGCCCCAAATCAAGTTCTTGGATCCAATCGCTGTCATCAACACAATGCTAATGTCTTTATCAAATTTGATTATCATTTCTGGTTTCATTTGAGAACAAACCCTTCCTCCTCTATAGGATCAAGTGATGTGCAGTCAGTCCAAAGTTGTTTCCGGATATGCCAATGAAAAGTATCCACAAGATCTATTAATCTATTTCAAAATCTTGCTTGACTTGGCCACCTTCCAAAACATTATCTCTATCCTCTCTTTTTTATACAATCATATAGTAATGTTGCTCTGCTAACTTTCTAAGATAGGCAGAGACAAAATAGATATCTATATGCTGCAGTAAAATCAATAATATAATTTTCATAGAAGGACAACATCTGCTTATAGAGACAAAAAATGTGATGTAAGAAGGGAGATAGAACTAGAATTATCAACTGTTCACCTTCATGGATGACCTAATTGTTGCCTTATTAGCATGAATTTATGCAAGCCAATGGTGGAGTCCCACAAACTAGTGATGTGTCCACCTAGTGTGGCATGTAAGAAGTTCTAATCACCCTCTCTTTTTTCTCTTTTCCCCAACTCCTAGTTACCTTTGCTTCTCGTATATAAGGATTTAATGTCTCTTGGTTTGTCACACCAATAATGACTTGTCAAGCAGACATCGAAGGAGAAAAACTGCGCAAAGGTCCATGGCTTGAAGAGGAAGATGAACAACTCACAGCCTACGTAAATCTAAAGGGGAATCGGAGGTGGGATGCTTTAGCGAAAGAATCAGGTACGTACATTACATGTGATTCTTATTAGTTAATTTTGGAGATGACTCATTTTACACATGTGGAGAACAGAAATTCAGAATCTGTTTACATGCTGCAGGTCTAAGGAGGAGTGGTAGGAGTTGCAGGATGAGGTGGTTGAACTATCTCCGTCCAAATCTTAAGCATGGACATATCACTGTCGAAGAAGAGAAAATAATCCTTCATCTTCATGAACGTTGGGGCAACAAGTAAGGTTCTTAATTTTCTTGTCTTTACCTATTCAAGTTTGACATTACCACTGCTAGCACTGCTGCCTAAGTGCATAAGTTATGTTTACCAATTTTGATAAGTGGTCCTCTAACTATATCCGTCATGTAGGTGGTCGAAGATCGCGCAAATGCTTCCTGGAAGAACTGATAATGAGATCAAGAATTACTGGAGGACACATTTAAAGAAGAAAGAACCAATTCAAGATGGTACAGAACTTCATCATTTTTTCCTGCTTTCTGATATATGTTACTGCTAAGGTTATTTATCTACTTACAGTTACACTTGCTCTGTCTGCAGGAAACTTCCAATGTACGTCAAACAAGGGCCAGCAAAGTCTCTTCTTTCAGGAAGGTGATATGAGTGCTGAAAAACAGTACAACTTTAATCAAGACCATGACTCAGTTTCAAATTTATGTGGAGCCAAGGATCCTTGCTCTGATGATCTTGGTTTATCGGAATTTGCATTGACAAATTCTCCGTACGAAACCAGGTTATCAGATTGGATATCCGAATTATCAAGCGAACAAAGTGGAATAAACTATAATCAGGACTGTAATAGTGTAGAGTCAGATTTGTGTCATCTGACATGGACTCCAGATGATAGCAATAGAAGGGAGTGTCCAAGTTTCCTCTGGGACATGAACTAACAGACACTTAATATTTTGAATTGTGGATCAAATGAACTCCGAGCCTCTAGATTGAAAATCACGTTGCTGCTACGAGAAACACAACTTCTTCCTTCCAACTCCAGCATGTCTACATGAAACAATTATGGCGCAGCTGATGGCCTTATAAGAATGAATGGGCCAGAGTATGAATGGTGAATAGTTTTTGCATTTCGAACACTTAGAGCCTTCAAATTGTAATTCAAAGTGGCATGCATGTATGTGATGTAGAACCAACTTAATCAAATTGAAAATTTATCATGTTTCTCTTCTAAACTGTTGCAGTTTCCCATCATCGTCGTAAATGCTGGTAGATATAGTCATTTAAGACAAATAGTTTAGGGAAAAAGCCGACTAAGCTTAACTAAAGCATCCAAACTTTCCACCCTAAAAAAAAAGAGAGAGAGAGAGAAGCATCCAACTTGAAGAACAATGAAGAAGACCTACCAAGGTACCGTAGCAGCTAAGCAAGAGTTAAAACAATGAAGAAGAAAGTGATCGATGACCAATTTATTTTGTTAGAGAAATAAGATGCATGGTGGGAGACAGATTTAATCAGCAAAACAAGCTGCTAATAGAGTTGAGATCAGTAACAAGAACTAATCTAAGATGGTTGTGATTTAACCCTTCAAGTTTTACTGATAAAAATTCTGCAGCATTTGGGAGTAAGAAAGCATCGCCATAAATTAAGTTGCCCTCCAACATTGAATTATAAAGATCAGTTAACCAAGTAAGTTTGGTAATTACATGAATCTCTAAAGATCCAAGATGCGCAAAGGACTCACTAGTGTAGTGGTTTGGAGTAATTGCTTCCCCAGACAAGGTCATGGGTTCGAGTCCTAATCAGTGTAGTGTGTGTCGCCCCTATCAATAGAAAAGGTCCTTTAAAAATACCAAAAAAGAGATCCAAGATGTAACTTAAACCTATCAATTGGTCGAAAAAGAAGAAGGAAAAAAACAGCTTGTGGCAAACCATCTACTTTTTATCCATAAATGGATAATAATAATTATAGTTCAAAACTCTTTACTTTTCATTGCTCCATTATAGTGAGACAATATATATGCTGCTTGTAATCTTGATGAGCAAAAGAGTTGGTCAAGCGTAAGCAAAAAGCAGAAGATAACATTATCCATCTGGCAACTAGATTATGAAGTGGCATTGAATTAATAAATTGAACATGCCTACAGCTACATGAACTGAACAAGAGCCTCAGTAGACGTCACTTGCTGGCTTATGATGACCTAGAGAAAACAAATATCACAACCCAGGTTCTTAATTCCTGTTTTAAATTCTCAAAGGCTGAATATCTATCTGGTATCAAAACCTAACACCAATACCTCAACACCATTCTGTCCACCCAGCCAAACATTAGTATTTAAATTGGTAACCTGGACTGATTGTTCCAATGGATATAAAGAGCTGTTCAACTTCAATATAAAATAAAGTGATTTGGAACTAACTGGGAACTGCATCACTCTTTGTCCATTTTTAGTATAGCTAAGGGCTCGTGTGAGACTGCTTTTATAGGAAGCAGTTATACTTATAAACGTTTTTTTAGAAGTGCGTAGTGTTTTTATTAGAAGAACATTGAAATTAATTTTTATTAAAAATCCAAATACGTACTGGAAAAACACTTTGAAATGACTTCTTTAGAAAGCACTTTTAGTTCTTTCAAAAATAGTACCAAACATGCCCTAAGAGTTAGATGTATATGCTCCAGAAGACATCTCATCCTAATTAAAAGTAAACTAAACTATAGTTATAATTAGCCTAAAGCAAAAGGCAGTAGATTATATTGCTCTTATGTCTTCTCTATCTTCTCTCGTGTACCAAACATGGTTCTTAGTCAAACGTGGTTGAATATGCAGAGACATTGATGATATAAATATAAAAGCAATTGAAACCACTGATTATTTTCTCATTGTGAAATGCATGTCTGGGATAATATACAAAAATAACAAGCATGACAATGAGATCAAAAAGGAGAAGAGAGTGGATGTGGATGAAAGTGGCAGTGGAATGTTCCTGCTGCTACTTCCCGACATGTCATCTGTGTAGTCTGGACCCGACCCTAAACCGTTTCCGTCACCGTTGGATCCGGAGCTCCACTTCCCCAGGTTGTTGTCCCTGTTCATTCAAAATTGCATCATGCATTGCCATAATTTCCAGAGTATAACATTGCACAGGTCTTAGTTTTACCATTTCAACCCAAGACTTTACATATTCACAGCAAGTAGGCGCTTTTTGAAAATTTGTCTACTAGATAACAATGTTTCTTTGACCGCAAAAAGCACTTTTGTTTATTACCAAACACTATCAAAAGCGCTTTTGTAAATTCAAAAGTTGGTTTAGCACTAAGAAAAACCCTACCCAAACACATCCCATATGAATTGAGTCAATTTCAAATTTCTTTTACTAAAAGTAAAAAGAGACATCTTGGGCTCATTTTCATGGATGCAGAGATATCAAATAAGTGAAACATTATGCTACAAGTCCTATTTGGTCCAAAATTAAGCAAGATAGAGGCCCAAGATGACCCCAAAACCAAGTAGATCCACCTTCTTCAAGTTTGAGCTTAGAATCAGCCCACCATAATTTTGGAATGAACTTAGTGGAGATAATCAAGGTAGTCCATAGATAATTAAGAAAAGTAAAAGAGAGTGAAAAAGAGGGAAAAAGAGAGCAAAGAGAAAGAAAAAGAGACAAAAAAGAAAAAGGAAGAGACCTGCCACCAACTCCAAGGGCACCAGCATGCATGATGAGCTGGTCAATGAGAACAGCAGACTTAGGCTCCACACTGTAGGCCTTCTCATAGTTAAACTCCACACCCTTCCCTGAAGCCACAAAGAAAGCTCCGTTTACCAAAATGTCCCCCTCTGATCTCCAGTTCCAATCCTTCCACTTCCCTTCTGCTGTCTCCACCCTCTTTGTCACCTCCTTGGCATTAGGGTTTGATGGAGCGGTATATCTATTGCCTTGGCTATTTATTGTGGGATTTCCACTGCCCCCAATTGCATACATTTCCCATTGAGTAAAGTCATTGTTGACCACATGGATGTAGCCTCTTCTGCACCTTGGCATTCTCTGCACTAGTTCTTCACCAAAGTGATTGAAGGCTATGGTCACTTGCATGCCTGAGTCAGGCAAATAGTCATCACTGTGTCCCAAAAGCATCACCTCATTGTGGTGGGAGAAGTAGTTGTTGGATATTGTGATCCCTGTGGACCCCATTACTGCATCTATCAGACCATCCTTGCAGTGTGATAGGCTGCAATGGTCTATCCATATGTCTTTGGATCCAAAGATGGAGATCCCATCACCGTCTGATTTTGTGCGGTAGCCGTAGTGGCTTGGGCTTGAACGCACATTAGCGTCACCTGCATGGAAAGGAATCCAACTCTTAACTTATTCTAATCCTAACCAATTTTTCTCAAACTCCTTCTCCGCTACTTGAGCTAATTCCAAGATCATACACCGAAATTATTTTTGAGTAAAAGCAAGAACAACCCGGCAAAGGGTTTTAAGGTAAATCTAAAGTAAATCTAGATACACTCAGTCTCTTATTTATAAGTCATATATATTAGATAAAACTAAATATGTGCAATCATTCGTAAATCATAAGTATCAAGTAAATCTGAATAAACTTAAACTACGAGCAAACCATGCGTATATGGTAAATAAAAATTCATGAAATGAAGTGGAAAACTCATGTACCTGACGGATAACAGTGGTGGACATGCACATTGTGGATAATGACATTGCTTATGAACTGCAATGTGATGCAGCCACCACCCACAATGTGGACATTGGCTCCACGGCCATCAAGGGTCTTGTAGCTGTTGAAGATGAGCTCTTGGGAGAGCTTGATGAGCATGTTCCCAGGGAACACAATCCAGAGAGGCTCAGTCTGTATCACAGCATATCTCAGAGTGCCTGGCCTTGGATTCACAGCATCATCATCAGAAGAGTCTGTGACAATATAATACTCACCACCTTTGCCTCCAAGAGCATACTGGCCAAACCCAATTGCACAATCTGCTAAGCTCTGCCTGTTGTTTGGCCAATTTGGGTCACATTTCCAACAGTCATCTATTGGGTTTCCTGTTAGGCATGAAGAGTCCTGGTATTTTTGGGTTCCTTGCAGCATTTGCCTTCTTGCCAAAGAAGCATTAACCTTCCTGAAAAATAAAGGGAAAAAAGAAGTTAAGATTGATAACTCAGATCTACAAAAGGCTGAGAAACAGAAGAAAACAGAGGAAAAAAAAACAGAGGAGGTAATTAAAGCTATGTATTTACCTATGAACTTCTTGAACAACTTCTTCTGGGTTGGGATGTTGGCCAGGAAGAGTGAGGTTGAGGAATGCTGTGGCAAGAGAAGAAAATGAGCAGAGAAGAAAGAGCAGGACAATGCAGGTTCTGGGAACCATTTTTGAGGAAATGTTAGGATAGTTTTTATAATTGCTAGGAATTGTATACCAATTTGGTCCAAGAATCTAGTTAGTGTTTCAGTGATTGAGCTGCATGTTTAATTTGGGAAGACAATATACAGTAATTGGAGTGAGTGGAGTGAGTGGAGAAGATGGTCACTTGCCCTCTTCTCTCACACTCCTTTCTTTCTTACTGTACCCATTAGTGTCATTTCAGTGCTCTTCTTTTATAATCATTGATATAGACTTTTAGGAATTCACTTAATGGAGGGAAAAAGAAAAAGAACCACACAGAGACTGTTTACTATGCGAATCCGGCTGCTCTGGAGGAGCTAAAAAACTTTATTGCAACAGAGATAAGACTATTTTCTATCCGCGGCCAATAATGCAATGACACATGAAAAAGTTACTCCAAGTGTCATTGCGCTATTGGTCAAAAATAGCAAAAATTACTATTCCTATTGCATGAAAATCTATCTCCTAAAGGATCTGGTCTCCATTTTACTTTCCTTTTTTATTAAAAAAGAAAAAAGAATTCAAACTTGATACTTTCAGACATCGTTATTTTAAATGTTTTAAATGGAGTAGACTGATAGACAATAATTAACCATGATGGGTTAAACTGTGCTCCTAATGGTTTATAATACCAAATTTCAAGCAGATAGATCCTAGATAGAGTGAAATGGCACTAGCTAATTGGACCATTATACCAATTAGCTAGGGTTGAAAAGAAAAAGAACCACACAGAGACTGTTTACTATGCGAATCCGGCTGCTCTGGAGGAGAAAAAAACTTTATTACAACGGAGATGGGACTGTTTTTTTATCTGCGGCTAATAATGCAATGACATGCGAAAAAGTTATTTTAAGTGTCATTGCGCTATTGGTCAGAAATTACTATTCCTATTGCATGAAAATCTATCTCCTAAAGGAGCTAGTCTCCATTTTACTTTCCTTTTTTATTTAAAAAAAGAAAAAAGAATTCAAACTTGATACTTTCAGACATCGTTATTTTAAATGTTTTAAATGGAGTAGACTGATAGACAATAATTAACCATGATGGGTTAAACTGTGCTCCTAATGGTTTATAATACCAAATTTCAAGCAGATAGATCCTAGATAGAGTGAAATGGCACTAGCTAATTGGACCATTATACCAATTAGCTAGGGTTTTGCAATATGGAAAGGTAGGTAAAGAAGTTGGTATCTCGTGGTGTCTGGCAGGGCTTTTTGACTTTTTGGACCCTGGTACTCTAAACCACAGTTAATAAGGCTGCCCCCTTAATTCGGCTGGTACAATGCAGCCTTGATTTTTCACCAGCATTTCATCTTTTCTTCTTCATCAAAACCCATGAAATTATAGTAGTAATTGTGAGAATGTGTAGGTGAAAAAGTGCGACTTAGGACTTATAAGGTGTTGGGTTACCTCTCCATTGCCAATTGATTTTGGGATGGAACCTCAACTTTCTTCGGGTTGCCTATTTGTGAATGCCCAACAGCCACACATGTTTCACGTCACCCAATATATATTGTCCGCGTGTTAGGCTTGAAAATTCACCACACATGCGGAGTCGTGTGAGAATGTAAAGGTGGGATCTAGCATGGGCTTATCCTACTCTCCCATTGCAATTTTGAGGTGAAACCTCAGATTCCTTTAGTAATTGCCTGTGTTCAAAACTTAAAATAAATAAATAAATAAAAAGGTACTCAAAAGATGTAGCTTCTTTCCTCTTCGTGGAAACAAACATATCAAAATATCCGGTTTCTTGAAACTAGCTTTGACAATTGGTGCTTTTATATGATTAACAAAGAGGGATACGTATCTGACAAAATGATACACATCTTTTTCTTGAGCTGAGAAATTTTGTTTCTTTTTGAAACATCAGTGCATGAATTAAGCTGAACAAATACAGTTTCAACAGCAACTGGTCCTTTTCTTTTCATCCAAACCTTTCGCTGAGCTTTCATCCAGTTATGAATCTGATTGGTTAATTCAATCAACCCCAGTTTCAAAGCCGCAGCAGTAAATAATATAAAGGGCCTACATTACACATGCAGTGCAGTAAACCCAGCAACAACCAAATATAATTATGTCTTATATATATACATATCATCAAATATGTATGGAGCCTCCTCCTGCGGATCCGGGAACAAATTGATCAGCTCTCTATTCTTCTCTCTTTCTTCGACATGAGGGCCCCACTAAAAGAAAAAGACTAATTTGGGGAATCAGAAATTAGGAAAGAAATAATACTGGATATACATAGATGCTGCTATCTATGCTTTTATTAGTTTTCAAATACCACCCTGTTTTGTGCTTTCATTATGACATTACGCTACCTTTTATTTTAATTATTTTAATTCTAAACTATATAGATATACACTTTTGGCGTTGGTGCATGCTTTCATTGCCAAAAGTTCCAATGAAGTTGATGGGTGTAGGCCCTCCTAATTTGGTTTAGGATAGATGATTAGTTGTATAGAGACGTATAGACGTTCATTGTTGTGGACTTTTGTTAGGATAGTTCATAGTTTTGTGCACATCAAATAATAAATTGTCATCCAAGCTGCATAAGTGACTTTCTACACCTAATTGCACCGAAGTTCTTTAAGATAAAACTACAAATTAAACCGTGAAAAAAACACACACTTAAATGGGAACATACACAGATTCTGCAAAATTCATCGTATCCAACATACTACGGAAAATCTGTGGCCTACCTTAATATATAGGTCACGGGTGTACCAATGGCAGATCCAGAAGTTTTCTAGTAGTGATTAGTGACTACTCAAAATCGTTGTGCTCAAATTTCTTGATTTAATGCACCGCGTTCACTTTGCTAGTTTGCTGCTTATGACTCGTTTACAATATGATAGATGCATTTCGTACGCTTCATCAGATTCTCAGAAGAATCAGACAAATGCGTGGTCCATTGTTGAATATTTATGTTAGAAAGGAGCTGTATTCATATTCCTTTCCTCTCCAACATGTAAAGTGGAAGAGAGAAAAGAAATGCCCCCTCTCTCTACAACTTTAACTGCAAGCCATGGCCCCCATTCAGTTAAAGGATTTCAAAATGCATCGATCCTAATCCCCATGCCTATACCCACCAACTTTTAGCTAGGGTTTAATGAGAGGTAGCTTTTGAAAAATTTGACCCACCCAATTCAGAATAATACCTCGAAAAATTAATCCAATATATAATCTCTCAACTCTCGTTCCTTGATCAAATCATATCCCTTAATTTAGGCTTTTCATTTTTAGATCCATGCAACTCTCTAACTAGCTATATATAGTAACAAAAGAAAGAAAACTACTTAAAAATATATTCTCTGATGTTCACACGTTATTATCATGTAGATGTTATTGTAAACAGACAGGAAAGCAAGGAGAGATAGTACAAAATGCATGACGTCCACATGATAATAACGTCCGGATGTCCGTATAGAACAATTTCTCTGTATATATATTTAAGAATCTGCTTTTGGATAATGTTAATCTATATATATAAAGCAAAAGGCAAAGAATGGTGAAACATTCAAAATACCAAAAAATGCCCTTGGTTAATGCAAACATTAAGAATTGAAATTATTAATTGAGTGAGGATAATATGGTAAATTTACACTTTTTCATATTAAAAAAAATTTAAAATTAAAAGAAAAATCAGATAATTGATCCTTTTTTTATGGAACACAACTACCCATTATTTGTTTTAATTCTAAAATAAATTAAAAATTTTCTTTTAAAAAGCCTCTCACAAGCGCGGAAGCGCATGCAGAGAGGCTAGTATATAGAATACAACGTTCTCTTGTTGAAATCATTGGACTAGTGAATTTGCTGGTACCTCATCCTCATCGGCCCACTAATACGTACGTTTGATGCCCTTTTTGACTCTTATTACATGTTTGGTCCTACCTCTTTGACTGAAAGAAGATTTATGGATGTAGATGATTAAGTAGATCCCAAATGTATAATATATATATCTGTGTGTGTTGCCTTGCTTCAACTTGAAGTCGCTGATTAGCAGTCAAGGGCTTTATGGTAAACTAGAGACTGAAAGTTCTACGCTCCTAGCAAGTTGCTCAAAATGCATTACAACTTCTTCAACCCCCCATCAATGATCAATTCAATAGTTGGGCCCCTAAAAATCCCCTTCTTCCTAATATCCCTTAAAAGATAAAGAAATATTTAGGTTTCAAAAATGAGGTAGACAGCCAAAGAAAAAGTATACCGTAGTCTATAGAGGACAACTCAGACAATACAGAGGAAAATTTTGAAGCTCATAATGCATATATATAAGGAGTAATTATAACGCGTTGATGAATTATATTATTCACACCTAGCTTAATAATGACAATAATAGAAATAAGCGTAAGTATGAACAACACCGACAGCGACAACAATTATACTAAGTATTATTATCATTAGAGTTATATGAAAATTTTCAAACTCTTGAAAAAATCAAAGTGAAGTTTCCTCAGCTAGTCTTGAAAACACACAAAATATGAACAATTGGTGAAACAAATAGTGTGATGACTCCCTTCATGCTTTTATACCCTGAAATAATAAATTTCACCTATTAACCAACCATTTGCATGATATATTAGAATAAATAATGCTTGTTGGAATTGATAAGTAATGGTAAGATTGAGATTTTAATCTTTGCTTATATGGGTGGGTATAACACTATTTTCTTATCTTATTCAAATGTATTGTATTTTAATTTACATAAGATATTGGAGTGAACTAAATATAGTATTATAAAATCATTTTACTAGTTTTGTGCAAGAATAAATAGAGAATGATTGGACTAAACCTAGTGTACTCTATAGACATCCCGAATTATATGAAATTCTACCTAAATATATACTTGCTCAATTATCTTTGCATACTCATATTCATATCCCAAGTTTCCTTTCGATTAACTTAAAATTTTCACTAAGAGGATCGATTGGTTTTAATGTCTTGAGGTGCAAGAAAGGAGCGAGTCCAAATACAATCTTGAGAAAAAATAAAAAATGATATAGTTGTTCAAAAAGAAGAATTGAATGTGGGTGTTTGTGTTAAGATCAGAGAATAGAGAAGAGGCAATGAAAAGAACAGAGATAAAATGAAGATAGTAAAATAGAGAAGAGGTAATGAAGAAAAGAGAGAGAAAATGAATTCTATTATTGGCTCTGTTAGGTTGTGTTTAGCTAATGTTTGTAGCTTTTCTTGACAAACTTGTAATTTCTTAT